GTCACTTGATCATGCAGGATGCAGACTGTCAGGGGGGAAGACATTTCTCTGCACCAGAAGCTGTCACTTATCGAGACGGAAACGGGCGATCGAGGTCAAGCTGCAGCTGAAGTCCTGTTGGTTTCTCGTTTCATTGCTCAGTATTTTTCCGTCCGATTGTTAAAGCAAGCTTCAGTGTCAGACAGTGATTAGTGTGTTTGTGTTTTGCAGCAGTTTAATGATGGAGAGGGAGGGGTTTGGGGTTTTTATAAGGAGCATTAGTTGACGTATATAGAGTGTGGTGCTTTGCGAAAAGTGAAGAGTAAACTGGATGTAGTGATTTATTCATCACATGGGCTCGTTATTTGTCTGAAAAATAAAGCGGTCCTCGAACTCCTCCTGAGATTCTCCTTGTTTTGTGTTAAACTTGATGAGAAACTGTGCACACATTTACACAGTCACCACACCCTGTGTGTCTCCTGTCTCTCTTGTTAAACTGTCTCCCTTGTTTTCTTCTCACTTCCTCCTTCCCCCGGTCGTTTTTTTTTTTTTCTTTTAATGAGGTCTGTGTGCCTTTGCCTGGTCAGTCAGGAACAGTTAATTCCTCCTAAAAGAACACGTTAATGTGCAATTAAGGGCTGTGGGAAAATTTATAGCACTGTTTTGAGCCCCTTTGGATGTAGTTTGATGTCTTTAGTTACTCCATGGTCTGCACGTTTACTGTTGAACCCCTTGAAACTCGACCTCCTGAGTCCACATGTTTTTGAAAACGGAGGTGGAGGAAACTCACCTTTTGGAAAACTCCTTCCACGGTGAATTTACAGAAACTCAGATTAAGGTTTTTGTAGACAGGGAAAACTGAGCGTTGGTCTTGTAACGTCTCCTTCGTTTGACGTTGTTGTGCGGCGCTGTCTCTTTAACATGAGATTAGTGCGATGGCACTAGCGCTGGTGCTAAAGATGCTAACTGGACTTTTTACATGCTCACACATACATACACAGTTACTTAGAATTTTAGTCATTTCAGGATAAATGATGGAGTCTCAGGGATGAAAATGTCTTCATTTACACTTTTCCGAGTCGTTTTTTTCTCATATTTCTTACTCTCATGTTCTTGGTTCAGTTCAAAACACTGCAGCAATATGAGCAGCAACAAAAACAATCATGGAGAATAAATAAATCTAATAAAAAGAGAGAGTTAACTCCAGGGGTCTTAACCTTCAAAGTACTGTGAGGGCTCCCCACTTTTGGCAGTTCCAGTAGCTCTTAGCAGGTTTGATCCAGGTTTCAAAATCACTTTCAGCCACTCTGGATAAGCTTGTGTCAGTCAAGGCAAGACGTCTGAAGCCAGTAAGTTTCAGACTTTCCTCGGGGTGGCACCGAACATAATACCACTTAAACTGAATCCCCTCAAGCCGGAGCAAAGCTTTTCAAAACAATACACCTTCTGAAAAATGTACTTTAAACACTTTTTCACATGTTTCCTCATCATCTGAAAACCTTGAGTCTGATTTTAGATCCACAATCATTTGCAAAATGTTCTTTGTCTCAGTGAAATCCACATGACACCTTGATTTTCATAAGAAAGCAGAATGAAATGCTAATGTTCATCATGAAGGACATCAAAACAGTTTTTAAACTCTCATTTATACATGCGAGTGTAGTTATCTTCAGTGGTCAGGCCCAATAGCCAGCCTGGGGATGTTGGCCATTACTTACAATCTGACAATTCTTGCAAAAAGCATAAGAACATACTCACTGGAATCCTCAAACATGCAGCTAAAATCACTGCTGACACCACCCAAATCCAACTGTCAGAACTTTTCATGCATGCAGCATGATCATCATGCAGGAAAGGAAAGTGGTCTGCATCACTGAGGTCCCTTCACCACTCGTTTCATCTGCTCCTCTCGGGCAGCCGTTTCAGAGGACCATTGGCTAACTTAAAATCTTACAGAAACTCTTTTATTACCTCTAAACAAGGCTAGATAAACACTACCTTTTTTACATGCTGAGCACAGGTGATTTGACCTATTAGTGGAACTTTTGGTATGATTTTATGTGTCTAATTGGTGTGACTGTTTTTATGTTACTTGAGCTTCTAACCAAAAGTCCTTTTCTGTCACTGATAGACAATAACGTTTTTTTAATCTTTAACCATTCAAGAACAGTTCATTTTCTCAAACAACGTTTTGACACAGCTCAAAAAAACATTTATAATTTGCATTTTTCTTTTAAGTCACTGGATAAATGAACAAGAGCGAGAACAAATGTTTGTTGGAGATACAAATCGTTATTTTGATTGGTGGAAAATCAGCAGAATCAGCACTTCTTTTAGGATGTGTACACAGACACAAAACTCAGCGTGACTGGAAATTAACTTTTTTTTTTTTTAATCAAGAGAAGACAAAAATACAAAGTACAAAATAGACCATCTTTCTATACATACACATGGTAGGAAATGTGTAGGAAAAAACAACACATGATAGATAAATGATAGAAGAACAGCATGAAACAAAGATTTCAACGTCATGTTTATAGATACAGAGTTACTGTAAGTCCAGTTAGTTAAGAGTTACCAATACACACACACATACTACTCAATGCATTAAGGCACTTGTGTGTGTGTGTTGTGTATTTTGGTCTTGGGAGTTTCTATTTACAGTGTTTAAATTTTTTTAAGAAAGGTACAAATGACATCATCAGTAATAAAAGGAATTAAGATGTGAGGCGATACAGACCTCTGCATAAGACACAAAAAAACAGCTACTGGGGGTATGATACAGGAGAGGTCATTTACAGTATTTCACAAACACACACACACACACACACTTAGACTTGCAAATGCATGCACAACTACATGGTGGAAATCTACACAAGATGTGTAAATTGCCCACACTCTCTCTCTCTCTCTCTCTCACACACACACACACACACACACTGAAGATGCATCACACTACGGTTACTTCATAGACACCACATGCACCTGCTGGGCACACTGTGTAACAGACACAAAGTCTAACATCCTGTTTACAACACTATAAACAAACAATAAAACTAATGACACACTTCTCAGTTGCACCAATCACAGAACAGCAATCCTCCTCCATGCAACATGTTCTCAATAATGCCTTCTGGGATGGAGCAGCGCTGCAACAGCATTTGGACGTCTGTGTTTTTTTTTTTTTTTTGGTTTCTACTGCCTACCTGTTGTTTGATATTAAGCTCCAAGGCCTTCTGGTGGGCAGAAAATGCCCAGAGTCTGACAAAGTAAAGCGAACGGAACAGTTTCCTACCTGGACGCTAAGATTACAATTCTTCATTCGGCTGGTCAAATCGACCCGTGTAGGTTTTTTTTTTTTACAAAAGATGCATTTACACACAAACACAAAAATCTTTTTTTTCATTGGAAGGTTTCAGAGTCAAGAAGCTCTAACGTCTTAAACACAAACTGTTTATTATTTTGGCCACCATCTTTTTTTGTTTAATCTTTTATACTAGTCGATCTGCAGCGCTCTTCAACAAATATTAATTTTGGTTAACGAGGCCTTAAAAGATTTAACTAAGTGTGCATACAAAATAACTCTGACAGGCTTTAGGTTGCTACAAAATAATCCTCTAATGTAACATCATGTTATTTCTTCTTCTTGAATGCAAAGTTGCCGTCATGATCATCGAGGAGGGCAGTCAGGGGAATTGCTTGAATGAATAAATAAAAGTAAAACCTCTGCTGCAAACTGAGGATGCAGGATGATACCTGTCAATGAAGGCTTTTGTTTTTTTTCATGGTCATCAACATTCAATAACATTTTTGGAGTTGACGCTTTAACTATAATCCAGAAAGTTTTGGGTTATTCCAATAAGGGGAGGTGGCTTAAACAAATGTAAGAAAGGTTTATATAATGATTCAAAATCATTAAACCAAATACGAAATGTTTTCATCCTGCTTCCTAAAATAAGTTTTTTTTTTGTATTATTCCCAGTAAATTACATTTTTTTGAAAAGCATTATTTTCTACTGACTGGCGACTCTCGCCCAATGACAGCTGGGACTGGCTACATCCCCGTCTTGACCCTAAACGATAAGAGTGGTACAGATAATGGATGGCTGGATTCCTTTCTTTGCACCGATAACTTCAGGCATAAAAAACTGCAAGAGACACTTAAGGGTCTTTACAAAAATAGGTCGGAAAATAAGTTTTGCAACCGGCCAATTTGATTTGGAAAATATCAATAAATTGGATTTCTCTTGAAATCAAAGATGGTGCATCTCTACTCCAAACATCATTCAGCTTAGATGACGTACCGCCATTTCTATTATGGCGTTGTCAAGGTTGATTGTAACATGACGAGCCTCAAGTTTCCTTAATTAGACCTCGATGAAGCCTAAAACTCCAGATCGGATTAATTCGATGATAAAGACAGCGTTTAAACCAGGCCCAGGTCTTTGTACTCAAAAGTCTGCATATGTGACGTTCATCAGAATCCACAGGTTCAAACGTCTTTCACATGTCGAGTCCCCGTCGACCGGTCCCTTGTGGTGCGCCTCTGTACAGGCTCTTAGGGGAGAGCGGGCTGCTTCAAGGCGTTCGTCTTTGGGTGGTGTCGTTAAGTGCATTAACATTATTGCTCATATCAAACAATACGATGGTCCTCAAGTGGTGCTGCGGTGGAATGAGCGCTCCTTTAGTCTCAAATATAAACAAGAATATACAGTAATCAATACTAGTGGTAGATACACAGTTCATCATTGTGTGTATGTGTGTGTGTGTGTGTGTGTGTGTGTGTCAGTATAAATGTATTTAAGACACAGAACAGCAGAGGAAAAGTCATCCTGCTTTTTAAATGTTTTTGCCTACAGATTCACTTCATATCAAATACAACTCTACAGTATGTCGGCCTTTGAGTTGAGTCAGAGACTTCATAAGACATGTCAGATGAAGCGTCGGGGAACACAATCGTATCCAAAACTATTAAATAACCTACAAAGTTGTGTTTCTTCCCCCCCCTCCCCCCTCCCCCCTCCCCCCACACAGAGCTTTGGAATTTCTCATGGTTCACATTATGGAATGAACAGTGCAATAAAAAACAACGAGGACATCTGCCCTCTTTCTCTGTTTCGACAAAAAAACCACAGTTTGTAATCTTCATGTTCCTCTCGTTCCTTCTTTGTCGAGTTCTTTGTCGTCTTCTTTTAGTGGTTAAACTGCGAGTTATGACATCATGAAAACAGATCATCTCTGCGCCTCCTGGGAATTTGAAGCTGCTGCCTTCTCTGTGATATTTTGTGTGTGTGTGCTTTCTCCTGACGTTTGAGGGTCTGTATCCCTGTCAGCCTTTTTGCATCTTGTTTGGTCTGCATTTTTGAAATTGCAAAGTGGCAAAGGAAAAAGGAATTTATAATCCAAAGTGTCCTCCTTCTGCACCTGATGTTTGACGTTAAGGCAAAGTTAAGGCGATTAAAGCAGCTGCTGGTAAAAACATAGTGCTCCTTGGAATTCTGTCTGTAGCTCAAAGGTTTGGTACTTAATACACAAAGTCCTCCGTTAGTCACCAGAGATGTAAAAGTCTATTCAAAAATGTCTTGTATTGCTCTTTGGTGAGGTTTCTGAAGGTTCCCCGGTTGCAGGTAGTGCTGCTGGCGTCAGCTGAGTGCTCACCAGCATTGAGGTGGTCGTACAGCGGGTCCGTCGAGGTTCAGCATTGTGTTTTTTTTTTTCGATGTGTGGATGAAGTGTGAATAAGGCAGATGGGTGGGGCTCAGTGGCATCACAAAAAAGAAAGTCCCCTTATGGTCGTATAACAGCGCAGGAAGTCGGTGGGGCCCCAAAATCCTGAACGTGAGAGGTGATCGGTCACTTTGGTCGTCTACATGGAGTCGCTGTCATGCTCCATCGGCTCATCTGGAAGGCTGGAAGAAATAAGGGAAAGAATGAAATGGTTATCTCTGTTGTTTTAAGTGTGTTTATAAGTTCTTGTATGTGTTTTTGCTGAGTTGTACCTCTTGTTGGAAAGCACTCCCACAGAGAGCGAGGCCAAAGCGTTGACAGCGTCCGTCTCCTCACAGTCTCTCCTCTGAGCAGCCAGGTGAGACAGACCCACTGATGCACTGGAGGCCTTCACACTCTGCCAGTACTGACCTGCAACAACCAAAGGGATGCATTTTTAAGGATGCTTTCTTTCAGTTTTAAGAATGGATAAAGGTCAAAATACCCAAAATGAAGATTAGTGCTGCTCACTCTGTATCTGTATGACGGTCTGCAGCGAGCGGACTGCGTTAGCATTGGGCTTCTGGAGGAGGACTTCTTCTGCCAGTGGATCCTGAAAGACAGAGACGGACATGAAGATGATTAAATCACCATCATTAGACCTTTATCACAGGCAACTTGTCAATCATTTTTAAATCACTGAAGAGGTTCAGCGTTATACTGTCATCAGATTAGAAGTAGACAAACATGCAGATTAAAATTAGAATAACAAACTCAACAAGGTAACAAAACTTATAAACTACTATGCGGAGTACAGAACAGTAGTGTCTAAAATGTTCATTAGGGCTGGGAATCTTTGGGTGTCTAACGATTCAATTTCCATTCTTGGAGCGAGTCTGGATTCAAAGTCTATTTTTGAATTTCTTGCTGCTCCATTTGGCCTTCTGCTGAGTTAAAGAGCTAACCTTAGCACTTAGCAGGGAGTGATTGATTAGCCAAAAAAAAAAATCGACTTTTGGAAGTTATGAACCTATTTAAAATCTCAACATAAGAATCTCCATTTTAACATAAAACAATTATTCCCACTTCTAATGTTCATGAAAATATAAAACCAAAGACCACAAATCATTTGTAAACCTTAAGACAACATTGCAGGGGTAAACTGAGTTGCTGATCAAACTATAAATACATTTCTTGCCAGTAAAACACAAATTCCCTCAGAGTCCATTTACAGATCTGACCTTAAAATTTACATATTTTAACTATCCTGGTGGCAGATAATTGTGACTGCTCTGACAGTCGTCTGTGTGAATATCCAGGCAGTGACATGGGTGTCTAAAGAGGTGTATATGTACAGAAGTGCAGTTGCATTCATGACAAGCTGTGACCTCATGACAATTCTTAAGCAGTAGCGGACAAGTTTAGTGTGTATTACCAGAAAAACAATACATTAATGAACAGAGAAATTCCCCTGATTTGTTCTTGATTCTGTGAGTCATTCCCTGACCTTTCCAAACCCACTCAGCACAACTCTCAGCACACAATGTAAATACCACCCTCCAAAAGAACTGAATTACCCAGCATGCTTTACCTGTATGCCCAAGAGTGCGCTGACACAGGCTTCTGATGCGTCGCAGATAGCTGTGAGGTCATGACCTCCCTCAAGGGCCAAAACCAGACGGCCTCCTGCCAGAGACATCAGCTGGCGGGTCAGGAAGCCGAAACCTGAGGTAGAAAAAAAACCCACCACACTCAAAGTTCATGTAGCATGAATAAAAGCCAAAGCCAATAAGAATAAAGTTTAGCAAGTAAATGTCAATCATGAGCTCCCAAATGAGTTCATATTCTCTGAAAACAAACGTATATTTAAAGCTTGTGGATCCTCCCTCAGAACCTACGAGCTACTAATGACTATAATTATGGTCACATTAGAGATGCACAGTCGGAGGCACTACTCCGGCTCTTTGGTCCATGATGGACAGGTGCTGTGATGATCTATTAATAACTCTAAAGACACACAGGACCACAGAGTTCTTATTGGCCTCTCCTATAAAAGATCCCTTGAGGTAAAGGACGCTCCGTCTGTGGTGGAGGACTGTGCTTACATTTGGCGGAGACCTTGTACCCTCCAAGAGGAGCGGGGTTTCCCTCTGCAGCATCGAACCCAGCAGACACCAGAACCACGTCTGGAGAGAACTCCTGAGCGATGGGCATCACTACAGACCTGCAGGGACACAATCACAGGAAACTGTCAGTTCAAGGGACGGAGACGTGTGTGTGTGTGTGTGTTTGTGTGTGTGTGTGTTGTTTCAGTTCCTACTGGTTACCAGTAAAGGGTTGCTCCAAGTCATAAATTACACATCTCCAGTGTGTAATTTTATTTTTGACTGAGCAGTAATGCTAAGCGTCCTGGGTTTTGACATGTTATCTTTGTTTAGCTGCAGATGTTTGGACTCTTCTGGCTTTAACATGCCGCCATCTTTGAAGAAGGACACATTAAAGGGTTCAGAAACAACAAGATGGACAGACTCTCTAAACCAGGGATGGGCAACTTTGGTCACAGCAAGGGCCACGTTCATTTAATTCTCACTGCCAGGGGGCCAAATTGTAGGATACAAAAACAATTACAGTCAATTATGTCTCATATTTAAGTCAACATATACCACTGATCAAATATTATTATGGACATATTTCTGGTTTTTATGATGTTTTCTTCATGTATCAAATGAAGTGATTATGTGAAAATTGCCCTGACGGCCACGTTGAGGGTTGATGGTGGCCGCATGTGGCCCCGGGCCGCCAGTTGCCCACCCCTGCACTAAACCAAAGGATTTAAATTAATTAGGTCTATATGACAGTTGTAGACTAACTCTGATTGCTCATTTGATGGTGCATGCATTGCTCCTGTGCAGCACGTTACTAATGTAACTAAACAAGCAGGATTGAACCTAAACCTTATCAAAGTGCATCCCTCCGGTCTTTACAGAAGCACACTACACACACTGATAATGACCCTAAGTCAAACTGAAGTTTGGTCTGTTAACAAATAAAATAAATAATAGATCAATAAATAAATTAGATTATTTCAAAGAAGTGAAAGATAAGCTAAAACATAAAAATGTAAAAGCATGCAGGTTAAAAAGTCTGTTTTAGAAATGTAAACATTTGAACCAAAAAAAAAGCAAAAGGAAGATTAATTTTACAGCATAAACATTCAGATTAATTTAATAAATAAGTGATGTTGTTAAAATGTACCGTTTGCTAAAATTGGTAAATAAACGGGTAGTACAGAGTTTACTTTTAAAACCAGTTGTAGCTCTGCTGATTCAATGATAGAAAGACTTAAACATGGAGGATTTATTTCACCAGTCTGCTCACAAGAAGCCCAACATAGATCAACAATCAAATTAAAGAGTTGTTAACATGACAAGTTAAACCTGAGTTTGGCAGATTCCAGACTTGGCAGCGGACAAAAGACTTATTGTTTCTCTGTTAAAAAGCTGCTCAAGTCTGCCTGACAGAGTCGTATTGTTATATATCGGCTCTCACGTCTGCTTTCTGTTGTTTGTGGACTTCAAACAGATGAAGATTTCTCTTAATGCTATTGTTGTTTAGAAGACAGAGAGAGAGCTGTACTGTCCCTGGGCGGAGAGAGAGAGAGAGAGAGAGAGAGAGAGAGAGAGGCTCAGCTCTGCGGCTTGATGATGTCGGCCGAGTTCAAAGCCGGCGTGTGTGTGAGTCTGTTTCACATTAGAGGCTTGTCACTCTCCTCACGTCATTGACAACACAGAGAAAAGAGGAAAAACAGTCCATCTGGGATCCATTTACCTTCATTATTCTGCCTGGGGACTGTGGAGACCCCCCCCTCCCTCCCTCCCTCTGCTTCTTACACACACATATCTGGACACACGCACATACATCCAAACACATACTGCTGTCATGAGCGCATGCAGATGGACAACATGAGCTCATAGATACAAATGAGGACACCGAGATGAAACACACAAACACATTCCAGCGCGATTTCAAACATGCAAACAAGCACAGAAA